CAACCCACAGCTCACCCACAGCAGCAGCGGCCATTGGGGCACTTGGCACTTCCTGACACAGCCCCCTTACCCCCCTCCCCCATGCAGCACAGGAAAGTGTGGGGCAGCACAGCTCAGCCCTGCCCTCCTGGCACCCGGCGCTGCCTGTGCCACATCATGTGGGCCCTACCCAGCTTGGCGCAGCACCATGCACTTCCAGGCAGCTCCAGGCCACTTGGGCTGTCACCTGGGGCCCTATGCCACTTGTGGGGACAACATGTTGTGCTGGGTCCTGCATGCATGGGACTGGTCCAGGTGGGGCCTGCATAGACTGGACCCAGCCCAACACAACACATGGTACCCATGAGCAGTGTGGGGCCCCAGGTGACAGCCCAAGCACCCTGGAGCTGCCTGTGCAATTTGACACAAGCAGCACTGGGTGCCAGGTGGCTGGGGCTGAGCTGTGCTGCCCCATGCCATGGAGCGGCTTTGCCAGGGGGCCCTGAGCACCCCGATGGGCTGCTCCTGTTGGTGAGCTATAGGCTGTGTGGGGTGGCTGGGGCCTTGTGTGGTAGCATGTGAGTCCTATGCGGGGGAGGGCTTTGGCCCCTGAGGGGGAGCTCTGGGCCCTGCAAGGGTGGGGGGGCTGTAGCCTCTGCAGGGGGGAATGTGGGCCCTGTAGGGGGGCAGTCCATGAGCTGTGCAGGAGGGCTACACCCAGTGTGGGGCAGGGGACCCATCCCTCCTGAGCAGCCTCTCCCACATGCCCCCCTGCACACCCACAGTCCCCCCACAATCCACCCACAAACTCCATGCCCCCAAGCTACCCCCACAAACCCCTCACCCCGATACCTGTCCCTGTGGGGCTGGGGGCAGGCTGTGGGTTGAGAGTGAGGGGCAAAGACAAAGGCAGGGCACTGGCATATGCAGGGTGCAGGCGGGGGACCCACCCCTCCTGAACAGCCCCTTCTGCAGTCCCCTGCACCCTCACAGCCCCCCTGCTCCAGTGCCCCCCACCCACAGTCCCTTACTTACCTCCAACGGAGCTGGGGTCCACACAGCCTGCACTGGTCCAGGCTACCCTGCTTATGGAGGCAGCGTGCTTCAGCACCAGGGCAAGGGACAGCCATAGAGACACCCTGGCTGCCTACCAGAGCATCTCTTTGGAGAACCCAAACCTCCAGATACCTCAGGACATGGTTGCAGACTGTGTCCCTGTCCCACTTTTTTTCTGCTGAGGTTTTTCTTTTTTTGGGGGGGATACCTGGCCCCCACTGCAAATATGCAGTGCGGGGAATGTTTTTTTGTTCCCAGCGTGCCTCTTGCCACATCTCAAATTGCTTTGAGATGCGGCCAAAGGCATGTGTGGGCTTGTCTGGATGTGCCCAAAGAGCC